TTTTTTTTCTCAAGCCGCGTGCCAATTGATAGGTGGGGTGGGTGGGGGAGAGGAGCAGGGAGGAAAGCCTGCTCTGATACCAGTGTGACGGACCCATCGGGATGGCGGTCCGTCAGGATCAAGACGAAGGGATGAGGATGGGGGAAATGGAGATGGAGATGGAGCTGGAAGGGACAGCGCAGCTCCAACGCAGACTCAACGCGCACGTACTCCAATCTGTGCAAATGAAGAATTAATCACAAAACAAACTGCAGCTGGGGTATACCCCCAGCGGACTGACTGGACTGGACTGGACTGGTACTGACAGTGGTACCGGGCAGGACTGGATTGGACTGAATAACCACACGGCTTGTGGGGTCAGGCCACGGCCTGGTCCCACAGGCCAAACTGGCAAATAGCCAAATAGGCCCTGGCTGTAGGCCAAGGCAGATGAAGGCCCGCTGCAAGCCTTGTATGAGACGCTTACCACACCGTCTATAAACATTTCTGGTTGGGTACTCAGAGTGATTCTGGTTGTGATCGTCGTCCTGACTGCGACGTTAAGTAATTCCGGAAGAGATGGGGGCGCTCTTAATAATCCTCCTGATCAGCCAGATCATCCGGGTGGAAGGCTCGTTTCCGTACGAGGGTAAATAAGAGTGGGCTGGCTGGCTTATTTGGCTTTGACTTGGGCATAGGGGTGGGCCGAGATACACACGAACACACTGCTCTGCTCAATGATGTTGTTCGGTATGTTGGATGGAGGGGAGGGTAGGTTCCAATTGGTGCTCAACTGAATACACAACTATACCCGCTCATCATACATCTGCTACATTGTCTTTTTGTGTCTTTGATTAGCTGGTTGACGGACTGCTAACCTCACAGACAGATTAGTGTAGGACTGTTGTAAGCTACCATAGCCAGTTCTAACTAATGCTGCTGTAAGTGAACCAATCAGGGTGCATCTAGACTATGTAGACAATCTGTGTGAATGTTGTAGACATGCCACTTGATTCGGTATAGTAGGGAACTCGCCGGACACAACTATTTMTAKAAAATTAYGTGCCGRTCAGATACAWGCTGCGGTAGGATTCCATTAGGGGATTCTAGTGTAGACACTATCTGTCTAACTAATGAGTGGGTCAGACCCTGTTGATGATAGAGCTGACGAAAGGAGACTAACACGTGCACGGGCACTAAGGGTACCGCACGTGTTCGAGGCCTTACAACCGGGAGATGAAGCACGGTTTCGGGCCGAACGTAGAACCCGTGCTTTAGCAGTAGGACTACAGGAAGCAAACAGAGCAGCAAGAGAGCAGGCAACAGCAGCCAGAGCAGCTGCGATGGCTAACGGCGCAAGCTCTGCTGCGTCATCATTTGCGTCCTCGTCAGGGACTAATGGGAGCCAGTTGGGAATGCCAACGAGTTCGACAAGTTCCTCGGGCAGTTCCGGTTCCACAGGTTCTAGACAGTCTTCTAGTCAAATGGCGGGCATGCAGTTTAGCCCATTGACCCCGCGTGAGAGGGAGCTCAGAGAGATCCAGCAGGTCGAGAGGTTTCACCGTAAGTTAGAGCAGGACCTGAAAGATGCTACCAATAGAGAAAATGCGATGAAAACTAGAGCAGCCAGGCTTGAAACTCTAGAGGCTGACAAGGCTGAATTAGAGGGCTTGGATGAGTCAGCATTGACTGACCCGCTGAAAGTATTGAAGAAGAATATGCTGTCATTGCACGCACACGTGGACAGCAAATTAGACTTCATGCAGAGCACTCTAGACCAGATCTTGGATGCTTTGACAAGGCCAGGATTCCGGCCACCAGCACAATTGTCGTTGCCGTTATCGGCGATGTCACGCCCCTTTCCGGTTCAAGCTGGCACACAGCCAAGTGGCACATCTGCAGCAGCTGCACAGACTGTTGCATCTTCTTCTTCAGGTCTAGCGGTGCTTGCTACACCACCACAACAGGCTAGTCCTCAACAAGGACAACCGCAAGGTCAATGGTACCCTAAGACCCCAATGAAACCACCTCTTGCCTTCTCAGGCGAGAGAAAGGACGAGGAACTCAACACATGGTTGAGAACAGTCCCGGTTTGGGTGAAGGCAAAGAGGACCTTGCCTGAGGACGAAGTGGTTACTGCTGCATCCTACCTCGAGGGTAAGGCAGCCAAATGGTTAGATGGTGTAGTTATAAAGGCCGGGTATGGGAGACGCATGACGGACTGGGCTAAGTCTCTGACGTTAGACCAGTTTATGGAAATGGTAGAAGCTCGATTGCATAACCCACAGGAGGCACGAAGGGCCACTGATGGCATCGAAAGTTCAAGTCGTTTAGAGAGCTTACGACTACCGTTGAGAGCCTGATTCTCGTCCCAGGCATAAACTACAGCGACCAGTTCCTATTGACTACGTTTGTCAGATGTCTCCCAAAGAACATCAGAAACTTACTAGCGAGTGAGGCACGCACCGAGTACCACTCGTTTGAGACATTGTCTAGAAAAGCCTTAGACTTGGCGGCCACGCTAGGCAATGCTCAACCCACATCAGGGAATGACTCCAAGAAGAAGAAGAGTCCTCAGGAGTGGAAGAAGAAGGGGGCTAAGTTGATGATGGTGGAGTCTGACGGGACTCAAACTGAGATGGACGAGCTCACCGACCTGATGGACTATACAGAGTTTGACGACGAGGAGGTAGCTGAGGGTAGCACCCTCGCCGCGGTAGTTAAGACTAAGGCGGCAGGCCGAGGGAAGGGCCAGCCTAGGGTTCAAGGGAAGGCTGCCTCCAATCAGACCAAGCAGGCTGAGTGGGTTAAGGCAGGTCTTGATCAAGACGTGTGGCGTGACCGTCGAACGCGTGGTGCTTGTATCAACTGAGGGGAGTACGAACACTCGCAGTACAAGTGCCAAAACGCTAAGGTTACGCAAAAGGTAGCTCCAAAGATCGGGGCAACCTACTCCCAGGCTACTAGCTCGGGAAACACGTGAGGCAAGTGGAAGTATTAGCTGCTTCTACTCAAGATGAAGTAGGATTAATACCCTTCCCACTTCATGACAAGGACAAGGCTAATGACCCCTTAGTCGCCCCGCAGACACAACTAGACCAAACTATGCTTTGTACGTTAGATGTGTCCAGAGCCTTAGAAGACTTGGAGAGTGAGTGGTCAAACAAGGACCCTCGCGAGTCTTGGGTGGCGGTGAGGAAAGGTCCTAGAGGGGAACATTTCGTGGTGGAAGTCCATGTAGGAGGCCGCAAATGTGGTGCCTTCATAGACATAGGCTCCACGCGGAATTATATAAGTCGCGACTGTTTGGAAAGGCTGCACCTACAGGACCGGGTACGACACCTTAGTAGACACGTAGCATCTACTTTGGCCAACAAGGAGCGCATGATTGTAACAGACTACATCAAGGACGTAGTTTGTACCTTCTCCTATGGACGAGGTGAGCTTAACCATAGGATCCTGTTCTTGGTTAGCGACGACCTACCATTTGACATGTTATTAGGCATGTACTACCTCGAAGTTGCTAAGCCCCAGTTTGACTGGGATAAGAAGGTGCTCAAGCATAAGTTGCCCGAAGGCCGAACTGTCAGATTGACTAAGTTCAGGGCCAGTAGTATTATAGATACCTATGGCTGCTTGTGCGCATCAACGTTCTACAATTATTGCAAGAAAAACCAAGAGGAGGGTATGTACCTTGTTTATGTCTCTGAGAAGGGGGAGGCCGTGAAAACACCCCCAGAGATAGAACGCGTTGTTGCTAAGTTCCTTGATCTGTTTGAAGAGCCCACAGGAGTGGTTGAAAGGGAAGTCGTCCACACTATAGAAATCATTCCAGGGAGTAAGACCCCTAAGGGAAGGATCTATAGGATGGCCCCCGCCGAGTTAGATGAACTTCGGCGACAGCTCAAGGAGCTGATAGAGAAGGGTTGGATTCGGCCTAGTACTTCCCCTTACGGTTCACCAGTGCTATTCGTACCAAAGAAGGGGGGTACTTTGAGGATGTGCATTGATTATAGAGGCCTCAATGCCATCACTGTGAAGAACGCAGAGCCTCTACCTCGCATAGACGACCTATTGGATAGGGCGCAGGGATGCAAGTACTATAGCAAGAGAGACTTGAAATCCGGATATCACCAGATCGCAATAAGACCTGAGGACCAACACAAGACAGCCTTTCAGACCAGATACTGTATGTATGAGTTTGTAGTGATGCCCTTTGGTCTTTGCAATGCGCCGGGTACATTCCAACATGCTATGAATCGGATCTTCCATGACCATTTAGACAAGTATGTCTTGGTCTACTTAGACGACATTCTGATCTTTAGTAAGTCTGCCGAGGAGCACGTACAACACGTTGAGACTGTACTCTCACTCCTGCGACAACACAAGTATAAGGTCAACTTAGAGAATACGAGTTTGGCCGCACTAAGATACTATACTTGGGTCATGAAGTATCTGCGGAAGGGATAAGGCCGGAAGATGCGAAGGTGGCTAGTATTCGAGACTGGCCACGACCTCAGACAGTCACTGAGGTCAGGTCATTCTTAGGAATGTGCGGCTACTATAGAAACTTCAAAAAGAACTATTCTACAGTCGCCTCTCCTTTGATTGATCTAACTCGACTTGACACACCGTGGGACTGGAGTGATGAGTGCGAGGCTGCTTTCAAACGATTGAAGCATGCACTCATGAATCATGAAGTTCTCATGGTTCCAGATCCGCAGAAGCCATTCATAGTGACCAGTGACGCAAGCCAATACGGCATTGGCGCAGTGCTGGCTCAGCAGGATGGGAAAAAGTTGAGACCGATTGAGTACATGAGCAAGAAGATGCCATCAAAGAAGTTGGCAAAGTCCACCTACGAGAGGGAACTCTATGCTCTGTATAAAGCACTTGTMCATTGGAGACACTTCCTTCTRGGAAGGTTCTTCTACTTGAGGACTGATCATCAGACCCTCAAATGGATCAAGACTCAACCGGCTCTTTCTGACGCCCTCAAGCGATGGATTGAGGTCATAGACCAATATGACTTCAAGCTTGAGTAGCTGAAGGGAGAGTACAACAAGGTTGCTGATGTGCTATCACATAGAGCAGACTACCTAGGTGCGCTAGTTTCTGACTTTGGCGTATCTGAAGAGGTAACTCAATCATTGGTGGGAGCCTATCAGGAAGACCCTGTCATGATGGACATCATTCGCAAGCTTCAGGCAAAAGACAAGGCCACGGAAAAGTGAGTTTGTGATGGTGGACGGGTTACTCTATCTCGATAAGGCAGGAATAAAAAGGTTAGTAGTTCCATCTAGTGAACCCTTGCGTAGTTTATTTTTAGGCGAATGCCATGACGTAACTGGGCACTTTGGCTACAAGAAGACGAGTGCTTACTTAGTACAACTATCTTGGTGGCCTGGTATGTTTGATGACGCAAAGAAGTACGCAGAGAACTGTCAGGTCTGTCAGCGGGATAAGCCGTGAACTCAAGCACCGCTTGGGTTGTTGAAGCCTTTGCCTATCCCTGCTGGTCAAGGACAGAGTGTCTCCATGGATTTCATGGACACCCTGGTGACTAGTAAGAGTGGCAAGAGGCACATCTTCGTCATCATCGACCGATTCACCAAGTACGCTAGACTAGTGGCTATGCCAGAGACCGCAAGAACTGACTTCGTCATCAAGTTGTTCAAAGACAACTGGGTGTGTGACTTTGGTTTACCGAAGTCAATCGTTAGTGACCGAGATGTCCGATTCACAAGTGAGTTGTGGAAGAAGACTGCAGAACAGATGGGCAGTCAACTTCAGATGACTTCAGGGAATCATCCCGAAGCCAACGGACAAGCCGAGCAAATGAACAGGGTTGTACAGCACTTGCTGAGGCATCACATCAAGCCCAGCCAAGATGATTGGGATGAGCAGTTGCCTCTCATCGCCAGCTTGTACAACAATGCTATCCATAGTAGTACCGACGTTAATTAGTTGCACTTGGGATGGAAGCCTAGATCAGCACTAGACTTCCTCCTACCTGAAAACCGACCCGCTGCAACCCCAGGCACACTAGAGTATGGTGTGCAGTATGAGAAGTTGCTGCAAGAGGCTGTCGAGCATATGAAGAAAGCTCACCAAGCAATGATTGCTTATGAGAATCAACATCGTAGACAGTCCACATTTCAAGTAGGGGAACGAGTCTGGGTCAAGGCTAGTGAGTTAGGACAGGAGTTCGGAATCTCTCGCAAACCAATGCCTCAGTACTTTGGTCCCTGGGAAGTCCTGGATATAGTGGGAGATGAGATGGATGGTCCCACATATGTCATTTGTGTCCCTGGACACCTACGCACTCACCCAGTCTTTCATGCCTCAAAGCTTGCACCTTTCGCTTAGACAGATCAATTCCCTTCCAGGAGATCGATGCTGCCCCCAACCATGGATGGACAAGTGGACATCGACGACATTGTGGATCACAGGGATATGCCTGTTCCGAAGCCGCTGGGTCGAGGAAGACCTCCTAAACCCAAGAGAGAGTATCGCGTCAGATTCAGGCATCATACGGATCCGAAAGAAGATCGATGGTTTACCAGGGAGGAACTGTTGAGACAGCTCCTCAGGTGGTGGCAGAATATGAGAGGCTACTGAAAGGGAAGGCACCTGCGAAGTAAGCATCTCAGCGGACTTTCGAAGCTAAGGGGGATGGAATGTGAGGATTGAGCCCTCAAGTAGGGGCCTTGCCAAGATGTACATGTTCTGGGCTAAGGCCCCAGCAAGCCTCGTGCCCGCCCTAAGTGAAGGTGGGCCAGCAAATCAACAAGAGCCCTCTGTGCCAACATTTCACGAAGTGGGGTCCATACTGTTGCAGCACGCCAGTTGGTTGGAGTGCATAGAGTCTCGGATTTCAGCAAATGCTGAAAGCCCAGGGCCGCTGAGTTAGTTAGGCCCTGGGCACTCGAATGTGAGGCCGACAATGCATGCTGGGTATAGAGGCCGAAAATGCCAAAGGGAAATCGGCCCACTATGTGAATCTGGCCGCAGGACTTGATGAAGAAGGCGCAACTGCATCACCCCGGGGCCCAACTGTATCGGGCTGTGTTCAGCCTCTGGGTCCCGGTCACAGGCTGAAGGGAGGCCGCCCACATGCTGCACTGGCATATAGGCAAGCAGGGCAAGCGGGCAGGGATCTTGGCCATTGCGGGCAATGCCGGCACGCTGCGCAAATGCGAGCTGCTGGCTGCTGCGCTGCGCTAAGAAGTGGTGCAAGGCAGGCATGCGCTAGGCGGTAGGTTGTTGCCTGTGCACTGGGCGCTTGGCGGCCATAGCCGGGCTGCAGAGGGCGCAGAGGGGTG